CAATCACGGAAATGAGGACCCACCTTTCCTTACATCATAAAAACAGGTATAGCGCTAAAACAAACCATTTTTAGTGCAAACGATTCCTGATGCAAGGAAACCAATGCATAAATAGAGAATCTGCACTATGAGGATCCGGTTGTTTCATATGAAATGGAAGAGGTTTTCTACCTATTGCAAAGTTATCAACATAACAATGCATTTAATGCCCTCAAAGACTAGAATATATACCACATAAGGACATTTTATAAACAACCAGATTTACATCCCGGCTCAAAACTATTCTACATGGATGTTTGGCTCTACTAAGTGCAACCACCTAAATCATTCTACTGTGCTTTCACCTTTTATCCTTAAAACTACAGTTACCACATGGTGGGCCTACAAAATTGCATTCATATATAAACTACAAAGAATCAATAATTAAAATGCAAAAAAAGATCAATGTGAAAACCAACAAAAATAATTGCAACCCTTGACTTATATTTCAACTGTCTCATTTTGATTGTATTGAGAAATACAAAACAAAACCCACAAAATAAAAAAGAACACTCCAAACCACATATAGCAATAAGCAGTACTACAAACCAGAGACTCTTCGCCTTCCCCTTCCACAGGCTCTGACAGAAGAAAGAGAATATTAGCCAAGTGCTTTTGTAGATAGGAGAGTTGGTGGGCCTCTTCATCAGCTGGTGATGGCATAAATCGACGGCTGTTGCTCAGACAAGCTACAAAGAGAAGAACCACCAATATAAGTCTAAGTGTGTGATTGACTGTAAACTTAAAGTCTGCAACTATTAACTTCGAATAGCAAAAAGATCTATATTCTTACAAATGATAAGAGAACAGTGAGATCCATATTAATGAGCTACATAGCTGGATATAGAGATTAGCAAATTCTCCCACTATCTCAGATACTAATTACAATCTCCACAGTCAATAATTTAAAGCAACCTAATATTTGTTAAAAAATAATTGAGCTAAAATACAACATCAAAGCTGATATACTTTTCCACATAACAGTATGCCCAATCATTTAATTGTAAAAAGCAATTGTATCTTAATTAAGTTGTTAAAATGATGTTTATTTCTTTATATGCAATTTTTAAGAATTAACAAGAACATCAATCAAATGGAATTTGAAAAATCACCCAAAATAATAAAGCAAAACCCTATTTTATCAAAATAAATACATAAAATGTAAAACATACTCAAACATAAGTATTGAGTATAAACTATAATCAGGCAATGTTAGCATCAAAAATTTAAATTAAAACTCCAAAAATATAGTTGCAGTTAGTATATTAGAAGACTTTTTGCGTAGTATTTGCACCCAAAACACAAGTAATATACACCAGACCTAGCGACAATTATCCAAAAAGATTCAAGATATCTTTCAGGTTGCCAAATTATGTAATCACAATTATGTATTTCCCAAATGCCAACGAAGAGTCAAATTTTCGTGAATTTTCTAAAATGGCCATAAATCTACCACACTGTATAAAATAACAATGATATTAATTCAATAACTACATATGTTTCAACAACTATGTATTCAATTTATAAAAAAAACACATTTCACCCTTAAGAGAACAGAAATGTAGAAGGGTCAAATTTCTTACCTGCAAAGACGAAAGGGCAGACAAATAACCGTCAAAAGCTGACGTAGAAGGCCCGACATCCGCAACCGTGGCGGAGTCCCTGTGCGAGCGCGCCAAAAGCCACTTATACGATTGAATGTACAAAAACAGGATCAGGTCACGCAAAATTAAAACCAACGGAATCGACATCATCCGGGCTGGTGGCCACGAGCGGGTCAGTTTCAGAGTGAAGAACCGACGCGAGAGTTTCGATGACTAGACACACATGGTCCGATGAGATCTGGAGTAACTCGGAAACGGCCTCCGAGTCCACTAGTTGAGTTGACGACGCAAACTTTAGCTTTAGCGGGGTCAGTGCTTCAACCGGGTCGTTGAATATGAGCTTCTGGATTGGTAGGAGACCGTTCTCGAAAGGCTCGCGACGCGGTTGTATGATAGTGACCGACATTGGATTCGCATCCGGGTCGCCCGATGACGTTGATGGCTCGATGGGGTCGGTCATCGCTTTGATTTAATATATCATTTTTTTTTTTTGCTTGAAATGAAAAAATAAAATAAAATGTAGTTCTGTTTTTGCAGATCTCGGAGGAAAGCAGGGTGTTGTAGTTGGAGGAATATGAGGATGATTGGGTGAGGACAGGTATAAAGAAACTAGTTACGTGGCCGGATTTAATTGGATGTAATTTAACGTTATATATATATATATATTTTGTGTGGTGGATGCTAATTTTTGTTGTAATGCAATATATATATTATACAGTGAAATAAATATTTAAAGTCGATGCTGACTAAATTTTTCATTATTAGCCATCTTAGCTCAACGATTAAAGTACATGGTTTAGCTTTTGTTACGCTCTAGTTTTTTTTCTTAAAAAATGGTTGGAGTTGTAAAACTTTTAGGGTAAACTAATGACTATGTAACTAATGTCTGGGTCGCGAAATGACCACGTAACTAAGGTCTGGCAGTTTAATCACTGAACAATTTAAATGGATTCAAAATGGCCACTAGCCGTTAGAAAACGAAATGGTGAATCTGACATGGATTTATCTGTAAATTTTTTATTCCACGTTGCTTTAATGAACCTCCACATCATAATACCACATAAATAAAATGGAAAAAAACACGTGGAAATATTTGGGCATTTAAAGGAACCCTAGATTTTTCTTCTCAGTATTTTCTCCATTATTTCTTATCATTTTGTGGAGATGAAGAAAATCTATAGGGGTTGTAGACGGCAATGGATGTAGATTTGGCTCGGGTGTGCTTTTGTGGAGCTCGTCCTACGCCAACAACAGGTTAGATTGATGAAAATGTAGGTAACAAATTTTGGGGTTGTGGAAAATATAGAAAAAAAGATAAGGGGTTGTAATTTTTTTACTAGTATGATACACCAGTGAACCCTAGATCAAAAGTAGTTATTGTTGGTCTTCTTAGAAGGGTTGCTGCTATGGAGAAAGAAAGGAAGAAGAAAAGAGTTCTTGTTATTTTTCTTCTTGGTACTGTACTTTTGTTGGATTTCATTTTGGGAGCAATCTTCTATGAATATGTTGGATATGTTATGGTTGTTGCTTGAGATTTATAGTGCTGGAAAATTTATTTTTTCAAATGAGATGTTTGTTATCTAGGATTTTTTTAATTTGAAGGGTGATGTGATTGATGTTAATGTAACCAATTTTTGCAATATATTTAATTCGAATTACGTAATGAAAAAAATCTTTTCATATTAAGTTGTAAATTAAATAAGAATATGAAATACTTGCAGATAGTGAAGTACTAATGTCAGTAAACAATAATATGAATTAAAAAAGTTAAATAAAACAAAAATACTTCATATCATAAATCCTTTAAGTTTGGAATGTAATTCATACATCACATAATGTTTAACCAATACATAATCACATCTTTAAATCTTGAATGTAATTTATACATTACATATAGTATGTGAAATTACAACTCCGTAAAAAGGTCATATTTGAGACCTTTTCACTTAAGTTGTTGTCTGTCTAAGAGTTCATGTAGGATCATATAGATACATTTAGGAGCATATAGTTGCATGTGGTGGAATTATGTTTGTCGCGACATTTTATTTTGTAAACGGTGTTGCATTGTAGGGAAGATGTTTGTTTGGTGATGTGCAGGATTTGGGAGCAAGGAAAAGAAAAAAGGAAGTGACGTGACGTGACATGATGAGACTGCTGAGCAGAATGTAAATGTCGATTCGGTTGGCATTTCAACACGAGAGCGAACAAATTGAAAGAAGATATTTTTCAGAGTCATCTGTCCCTATCTTCACGTGATTTCCACCCGAGAGGAGACACCTGCCTGGAGGGGACAACGCACTGCTACAGATGACCCTGCTGGACCACGCATTATTTGCAGTTGATTTTACTAGACCACAACCTACTGCAACATGATCTTGTCGGGTACTTAGCCAGCTGTCTGGAGGGGACTACTACCACCTCTGCTCACCTCCCTCACGTGAGTGAAGCATGTTTGAGATATCCTAGGAATTTCAACACAAATTTCTAGGTTTATTATCCCCTATAAATAGGAGATGAAGCCACCATGAAAGAGGACTTTTACACACGCCGCCTTAAGCTAGAAAATTCAGAGGAAAAATGTTTCTCCTTTCTCCACCTATCATATTTGTCGTGGCATTCCTCTGTTGACAAGCTAGAGGGAGTGGCGAGCTAGGCATCCGAGAGGAGCTAGCGAGATGAGACAGTTCGTGGTGGCCGAGGGAAGCTCTGGCAATGTACGTCGAAGCCTTTTCCTCATTCCCTTTGCTCTTTGCTTTCATTTTTATCATTTGGGTTGTAAGGAACGGATTAACTTCTTGCTTTGTGCTTGAAACATCCGAACCCTACCATGAACTAGTTTTATTTAGTGAGAGTTTATTTTGGATATTTAAGTTTTACTTTAATGAATGATTGTTTTTGTATGTTATTATAGTGTTTTGTAAATTAGAGGTTCTATATGATAAAAAATAATAATAATCAACCATAATAAAATCTAAAATTGAAACATCAAGATTCTGCATAATTTTACTGCTATGTCAACTTTGAGGGGAATTTCCATTTTTTTTAAATATGTATATATTATATTTTAAAACATTCTAGAATAATCTAATCAAATTAGTGATTGTAGTCTAGTGGTGAGAATTTTACGTTGTGGTCGTGGAGACATGGGCTCGAATCTCAGCAGCCATAGGTTTATTTTTCACGCGTGGCGCTTGCTTTGTTCCCCAAAAAAAAAAATTTGGCTCAAAGTTTTTTTGTTCATAAGTGGGCCATTTCGGATTGGACCGTTTCATCAATTTATATTTTCATAACCCCAAACCCTAACCTGCAAAGTCACTTGAATTTCATTCTCCATAAAACCCTAAGCACTTGCAATCAAATACACAGTTTCAGACGCTTCACGCGGGAGAGCGGCATCAAAGCAGAAAGGGTGTAGAGAAGAAATGGTGGCCAAAAGGAAGACCCCCGTCAAGTCCCGAAACCCAAATCTCATCCGTGGTATAGGCAAGTATTCCAGGTCTAAGATGTACCACAAGCGTGGCCTTTGGGCCATCAAGGCCAAACACGGCGGCGTTTTCCCTCGCCACGACCCCCAGCCTAAGCCCCCTGCTGCCGCCGAGAAGCCGCCCAAGTTTTACCCAGCTGACGATGTCAAGAAGCCTCTTCTCAATAAGCGCAAGCCTAAACCCACTAAGCTCAGGTTCTTATCTGAAATGATTGATTCATTTGTAGATCTCTCTTAAGGTTGCTTGTTTCTCATTGTTAGGTTTTTCCCTTTCTTGTTTTATTTGTTTAGAGCAAGCATTACACATGGGACGGTGTTGATTTTGTTGGCTGGTAGATTTATGGGGAAGAGAGTTGTATTTTTGAAGCAACTTCCTTCCGGGCTTCTTTTGGTCACTGGTAATTTTTTCTTCTTCCTGATTTCTGTTTCTTTATATGCATACACATACATTGATACATATGCCTATATTTTGCTTCTTAGCTGAATGTATTTTTGGAAACAGTCTTGATGAAATGAAACCAGTAGCTGCCACTGTAATTCTAAATTTCTAGGAGTGTTCAATTGATGTATCTTTCCGTAACCAAACCGAAGATCAGCTAACCAAACTTTAGTAAAATGCTAATGATCGACTTGTCTGGAATTTTGATTAACCTAATTTAATTAATTTTGGTTGGTTAATTCAGTTTTAAGGCGAAAAATGAGCACTCCGATATGGTAATAAATAATGGAATTTGATTAATTACTTTAGTATGGACCGTGGCTGTTTGAACTGATATTTCCGTGTTTTTGCTGTTGTTCATCTGCTTTTATGTTGAGTTCTGTTGTGATACAATCCATTTAACCATTCAACATTCCTTTGTTTAACCATTCCATTTGTAGATACTATCTATATTTGCCTCTTGTGGCTCTTATAAGAAAGCTTTGTTATTGATACTTGTTCCTTGTTTGTTATAGACTAGTGCTTCTTTTTATTTGAATCTCATGCGTTGTTTATATTTGGAACATGCTTTCATCGTAGGACCATTCAAGATCAATGGTGTTCCTTTAAGGCGGGTGAACCAATCCTATGTCATTGCGACTTCTACCAAGGTTGACATCTCGGGAGTTAATGTAGAGAAGTTTGATGACAAGTACTTTTCCAAGGAAGTTGAGAAGAAGAAAAAGAAGGGTGAGGGAGAGTTCTTTGAAGCTGAAAAGGAGGTTAGTTATATAGCATTTAGTGTAATTAAAGCTTGTCCTAAATAAGCAAACCTAATTTGAGATCCTTTAATTTTCCTTGACATATTATATAGGATAAGAAGAAGCTGCCAGAAGACAAGAAAGAAGACCAGAAAGCTGTCGATACCTCTTTAATAAAGTCTCTCGAGGGAGTCCCAGATTTGAAAGCCTACCTTGCTGCAAGATTTTCCTTGAAGTCTGGCATGAAGCCTCATGAACTTGTCTTCTAGAAGTAACTTGCATTTAAGCATAGCTGTTTTCCTTTGCTGTTCTTTTGTCTTTGAGTATTAGTGGTTATATCGTAATATCAGTGTTGCCGGACCTATATAGGGAAACCATCTTTTGTTTTTCTAATACCATCTTTTAATAAGCAAGAACCCCAAGTTTCCATTTTGTGTTTTGTGCTAATCTGATTGAAGCTTATTTTTATTTTCGTTTCAGTTTGTATTTTGATTGAATTTATAGCTGAGCTAACATTTGATTATGGCCAATAGAGACGTTGTCTTGATGACTTACTTCCTAAGATTTGCTTGTTATTGGTCCTTCATTATCATGAATTTCTCAATTGAAATGAAAAAAAATCATATAAATTCTAAACATTATACAATAAGTTTCATGAAATTGAAATTAGAAGTTTTTTTTGGGTTCGATAAAAAATAAAGATGCCCAAAGGGAAAAATAAAATAATTATCAATTTTTCAACGGCTCGTACTGTCAGACTATAAATTAACAACCTTTGCCTATGAAATCTGGATGTAATTTTTCATCAGAATTACACAACAAAAAAATCCTAAATTAGCAAATAGAGAAAGCATGGCAAAATTATATCAAAACAAAGTTTAGCAAAAAAAGGAAAAAAGAAATAGAATTAGGATGATCCACCACAGCAGCCGCCTTGTTTTTGGATGGGTGGCTCCTGATTGGGAACAATAATCCGGGTTCCCTTAAGAAGGCCAGCACTGCCATTGGCATCTGGCTCACCATTAGCAGAAAGGGTTTTCTTGCTGATTATTCGGTATATCTCTATTAGAATTGTCAGAAATGCAGTTTCAACATTGGTCGATTCTAGAGCTGATGTCTCCATGAAAAACAGGTTCTCTCTTTGAGCAAACTCTTCTGCATCTTCCCTTGGAACTGCTCTTAGGTTCCCCAAGTCACACTTGTTGCCGATGAGCATTACGACGATGTTCTTATCTGCATGTCTCCTCAATTCCTCTAGCCACCTTGCCATGTTGTCAAATGTTTGACGCTTGGTCATGTCATAAACTAACATTGCTCCTACAGCTCCTCGGTAGTATGCGCTAGTCACAGCCCTATACCTGATAGGAGAACAATAGAAGGATCGCTTTCAGCATACCATACAGAATGAAGGAAACAAAATGCTGTTGTTTGATGCAACAAAACAAAGTTCCATAAGCATTAATCTGCTTGAGTAAATATGATTTGACTAGATTCATGAAACTTTGCTAAACATTAATTCTCTGCTATAGCATCTAATGCAGTTTTTCTGTTACCTCACTTTTTCATGTGCAAATTTTCAATATCTTCCATCAATTTTATCCTACTTTCAGCACAAATCTAGCCCAAGAAAAAAACATAAAGTTCCAAACAATCAGATATTAAGTCGGAAAGTACTCGAGCCTAGCATTCGAGAAAACTCTAATACAATTCTATCACAGATGAAAATACAAGCAGCCTATTAATAACATAAATTACATGAAAATGTTTTACCCCAACAGAAATCTCTCTTCTAATTTGAAATATTTTGGAATATGTAACCTACAGAAAATGAGTCTGCATATCCGACAACGACACCAAAACTTTGAAGTCTTTATTGCCTTCCACTCTGAACAGCCTTTTAGTGGCACTAATTGAATTGAAAAGATCTGCCTGACATTAACCAAATTAGAAAATCTCAACCCACCAATTCCCTGGGGTTCAACTAAATAGTCTTTAAGCAACCAACGCATCATCATCTCCAGAATTTAACCTTAAGACAGGCAACTATGATTTTACATGTCATCATTGAAAAACGTAAAAAATATGAATACTTTCTTATCAGATTCTTGTTTCTTTCATGTAATTTTGGACTAATTTCCAATGCATAACAATTGCCTATTACAAGCTTTACTCTAATTTATTTCATTTCCTCAAATCTAAAATTTTTGCAGATCAACTAATTGAAAATTTCAGGCATATACAAGTAAAATGTAACCTTTCTTGGCCAGCAGTATCCCAAATTTGCGCTTTAACAGTTTTGTTATCAATCTCAAGGGTTTTAGTCTGGAATTCAACGCCAATTGTGGCTTTCGAATCCAAACTGAATTGGTTCCGGGCGAAACGCGAAAGCAGCTGAGATTTCCCTACCGCTGAATCTCCAATCAAAACCACTTTGAATACGTAATCAATCTTTTGATTGAAATCCCCACCGCGGATGCTTGACATGATCACCACCCAATCAAAAAATTTCCCCCTTCAATTGGATCCACCGCTCAGAACCCAGAAATTAATTCGATCATAAAAATTACAACAATCAAATCATATAAAACATAGGTGATTACGATTAATCATGTGCATGGTAGATTATACAAAAGAAAAAATAAGTTTTGCATGACATGATTATAGATCAAAGCGACACATCGAAGCGCCAAAAATGAAAGATGGTCAATGGAAAGAGGTCAAGATGGGAATTGGACATTAGGGTTAGGGCTATAGGAAGAAGAAAAACAGGGAATTTTGAAAGGCCTGTTTTGTGGAGACATGAAAACACTAACGGTCAGTGCGGGACCCATTAACGGTTTTTTTTTTTTTTTTGCTCTTTGCTGTTTTAAAAGAAAAAATTGCGTGTATTGCATGCACACCGATATTTGGGTAAGCTTCTTTTGTTTTTCTTTTTAAGGGAAAAAAGGACAAATAGCAACTAAAATGTGAAAATGTATATTTGAAATTATTTAATATTATCATAAAGACTTTTTATGCTTATTTCGATTAAATATGTACTGAGTTCGTGTTTTTGAATTTTATTTCTTTAATATAATTTTTAAATTTTAATTTGATTATTTTCTGAATTTAAAAATTTCAAGTTCAATTGTTAATATTAGGCTTAATACACTTTTAAATACTTAACTTATATCCAGATTCGTTTTTAAAATTTTAGTAGTCCGGAACTAATTAAAAATGGAGCCTCGACTGTTGAACATTTATTGATTACACCAAAAAGTGTATAGGAAAGCTAAGATAATGATTATTGGTAATGTTTCCTTTAATAAAACATTATTTATATTATATTATAATACATTTTTTTTTATTTTGAGTGTGGGCCTCGTCTGTTAAACATAAATTATATTTTAATAAAAAAAATTTGGTTTTAGGCCACCTGAACTGTTTAAAATCAATAATATTATAATAAAAATATTAATTTTTTTTAGTTTGGGTCCTGGGGCAGGTGCCCTCCTGCATAGGCCAAATTACGACATTAATTATATTTTCAAAATATGATTTGACGTTTAAAGAACTTTTTTTTTTTGTTAATAATAAATGTCTAACGTTTTAAATGTTATACTTTTAGATGATTGGATCATAACGATCGTTAAAGTTGACTGTTATTTGACATATATCATGCATATAAATTTTTAAAAAATATTTTATTTTAAAAAATTTAATATTATAACTAAAAAACTAAAAAATTCTCAAATTTTAGATCTTTTGTCGTCAATCAACCACTTTCATCCGTAGACGTCATTGTTGACACCATCAAAACTGTCTCGTTGCTACGACCAAAACACAGTCCTCCATCCACCGTGAAATTGCATCGATTATTGTGAAAAAGTCACGAAGGATCGTCAAATTTCTAGATTTTTTGTTGCTGTTTTCCGACGATTTTGATGGCTATAGTCGTTCGTACTTTACATGACCACCACTGTTGAGTTTCTCACCCTACGCCGTCGGAGTTGGGGGATGGGAGGGAGAGAGACGATTTGGGGTTGATTTTTTTTCTTTTTCTAGAAAATACTATTTTTATTATTAAAAATTTAAAAATAAAAAAACAGGAACATAAAAGTGTAACAGAAAAAACATTAGACACTTATTGTTAGTAAAAAAAATAGATACCAAGTCATATTTTGAGATATAATTTAGACACTAAAAAATGTATTAAACCTTAATATTATTAAATCATTTTTTGTTATATATATATATATATATATATATCAAAATGAAATCAATGAATTTAACAATATTAATAGTAGTCACAATTAAATTTGTCTTCTTATATAAAAAGGTATATTAATAAAATTAACTATCAACGTTTATTCAATTGGTTATTTTAGTTCATATTTTTTAGTATTTTAATTTTTAACGTTTTACTTTATGTTGTTGATGTGTCATATGACATGGTATCACTTTAATGACATGATACATGTCACATTATCATTATGGATTATGTGATTACATCATCATTTTGGTGACATAACATGTAATTAAGCAATGTAGAAATAACAAGCCAACAACATGTGTTGACTGTTAGTTAACTAACGATTTTTATCGAACAATAACTATTTTAAGGAAAAAATAAAATGTTTGAGATTAAAATGCTCAAAAAATAGAGAACAAAGTAACAAATTGTTCAAATGTTGAGAGTTAATTTCGTCATTATGCCAATAGAAAAATAGAAAGACTAATTTTCAAGAAATAAAAGTACGGGAATTAAATTTTAAGTATACAAGGAGTACATACACTTAAAAATATATTTTAATCGTTTATTTAAGGATACTTATATATTTGTCATTCTTTAAGAAAGATGAATAAATCTATAACGACCTAAACTTCAAGGCACATTCATATGTTGATGATGGACTCAAATAATAAACATCTTAGGTTTGTTGGACTAAAAGTTGAGTTTAGTTGAATGTGAAATGGGTCCAATAAGATGTAAAAAGGGGGTTTGCAGTGTAATACATAGTTGAGGAGCTTAGGAGATAATTACCCTATTTCATGAGATTTGGGTTTGTTTTTAGGACAATTACCCTAAGAATTGCCCAATATTCTTAAAATGACTTTACAGCCCTAAAATGAGGTTTTGAACCTTAAAAGGACTATAAATACTTATATGATTAATAACTTCCAGTTTAACACTTCTAGTTAGGCCTAATTATGTGATAACTCTTCTTGATAATAGGTCACTCCCCGATAAATCTTAATTACAGTAAAACCGCTATAAATTAATATTTGATAGTTGATAAATTAATAATCTCTATAAAATAAAAAAATTTCTTGGTCTTGACTTGAGTTCAAGGTCTAAATTATTAATTTCGATAAATTAATAAAATAATAATTTTTCGGAAGATCTTTATATAGATTTATTATCCCTTCAATATTATAATATAATAATTCTATAAAATTACAAGTATAACTATGACAACTTAGTAAAATATGATTCTATTGTTATTTTCTTCCTCATAAAATCTAGATCTACTTGTATTTCACCTTTAACTTTTCTTATTGCATCCAAATATTCTGGTATTGCGTTCTCACACCGCAACAAAAAATTGTGAAGAGCTGTTAACGCTATCAGTGTTTCCTTTCGATTAATTGGTTGCAAATGCACTGAATCATCTTTAGTAGGATTTTTTAATAACACTTGCTACAATTTCTTCTAAACTTTAAATCTATGACCATATATCATTTTCATCTGGGTAATCCAATAGGTGATTGACATCCATTAGATGTATGTACTATATTTAATTAGTCACATTCTACATAAACATCATTAAGTTAGTTACCTATTTTATTCCTGAATGAAAATATATGTTTGTTGAATTAGAAAAAAATTCTTTCAATTAATAAATTATAATTTATCAATTAATCAATACATCTTTAAATTAGTAAAATTACGTGGTTGTAGCATAATTAATTAATTATTAATTTATAGAGGTTTCGATAAACCATTAAAAATTTTCAATTTTTGATAAAAGAATATCTCTGACATTAAAAGTTTTTATACATGTAATAACTCTTATTAAATTTTGTTCTTAATCAGTACAAAAAATATTAAGTCAAATTTGTTTTTAAAATATATTTGATATAAACAATATTTTTTCTTTGTTAAAGAAGATAATCAAATGGTATTGCCTTTAACTTATATATAAATTTATCAACAATAAATTATAAAATATTATATTAGTAGATTAAAATCATAAGAATAAGATCTAAAATTTAATATATTTAATTAATAAACAATATTATTTACTTTGAAGCCTAATTTTTATTAATATATTAGTAGTTTTATATTATAAATTTAATATTTTCTCTCTGTTTAACAAAATCTAAATTTATGGAAACATTAAAAGCAATGCATTATATAAATTAGAAAAAAAAAACCTTTGTATTCTCATTCCATTTCCCTCCTTTAAGGCTTTAACCCTTTCCCTCTTCATCCCTTCCCGTCAAATTCTTTCTAACCCTCACAATCTATCTTCTCCAGCTGAATTTCTACTTTCCCCTCTCTGCGATTCCCTCTTTCTTCCTCCAAACTCTAAATCTCAATGTACGCTGTTGCTCGAGCCTCTGCTCGTCCCACGCAGCCGCATCCTCCTCCTTCTACTGCTGCCGTCCCTGCACCAGCTCCGTCGGCTCATCCTGTTGTTCCGCCAATACGTCGCCACCTGGCTTTTGCCTCGATGAAGCCACCATTTGTTCATCCCAATGAGTATCATAGATTTTCCTCTAATAACAATAACAACAATCTAACCGCAGCTAATAATACTTGTGGAATCATCGCCGATCAAGATGTTGAAGCAATTATCGTGAGATCTACAGTGAGTTTTTGTGATTTTCACTGAATATATTTCACATTTTCCTTAAAAATGGTGATTATGATGTAGTGAGTCAACTGTCAACATATGTATTTTTATGTATTGTTTATACTCTCCTATTGTTAGATTTTGCTTGATTGCAACTTTTTGAGTACAATAATATGTACGTAACCTTGTGGATTTGTTTTTTCAACATCTTTTCTCAAAAAGAACTTATCATGGACTACGGTGCCTTGTTTACTTAGTGGAATTGAAATTATCATTATCATTATCTGACGCTGCTGTGAAATTGTTACGCTTGGATTTTAATACATGAACTGTTCGCAGTGCATTTATGTTTTTGGTGATGTATTTGATAATATAAAATGCATCGAGTTGAGATGTTGAGTAAAGTGCTCTTTTATTGAACTAAATTGAAAAGCAGGCATCTTCGAATGACCCATGCTTGATGGTTTATACACTATAATGTCCTTAGAAACTATTTTTAGCACTATAAGTTTTGGCCGACATGCTGAAGACCCAATATCTAGCTATCAGGTTTTGGTTTGTGATTATATTAGTTTTATGTAATAAACCTACTACACTCAGGGATGAAGCTGATACTTGTGCTTCATTGTTGGGTTAAAAGCAGAATATTAGGTGACATTCCCTATGTGAAAAAAGCTTGAAGTATGTAAATCTTTGGATGTTGCAACTTTAATGGCTGTTTGATAAATGATTAAGTAGACATTTTTATGACCTCCCTTCCTCAAATTACAGTCGTTATTGTCTCCAAAACCTACGTACAAGTGGATCACTATTTTTTTACATGATTATTTCTTGACACTGATCTCTGTGAATTTTGGCCTTTGCAAAAATGTTTTGAATAAAGTAGTAATGTGATTCTGAAGGTTT